AACAGCTACACGTAGTTCAACACTGAAAACAGGAAACAGGAAACGCCTTACCACCAGGTGCAGCCAAGTTAAGATCCAAGGCACTCCGCCTTCATTTACTCTGCCTGACATGCAGCGTTTTGTTAGTAAAAATGTTAACAGCTCATGAGCCATACAATTCATCACTAGTACCTGGGGATTGCAGGCGTATTTATTACTTTCTGTAACAGCATTCAAAGACTGTCAGCTATGGGAGGTTTGCCGCTTCGCCACACGCCGTAGAAGTCAGCTCTTTTATTTGATGAGTCTTCTTTAGTTTGTGTCAGTAATGGTTGGATCTGGTGGATTATCATTACTCAGTTGAAGAGAGCCATTTGTGATTTAGTCATGTTGGGCACCTGCATGAATCCTGGACAGGCCCCCAAATATATTCCAGTGCATAAAGAGAGGGTGCTGGGTCTGGAATATTTGAAAGATGGAAAACAATATGAATGTTTGTCCTTCTTTTCTTATAAGATGCAGCAAGAAACTATTGAGAGTGATTTTTAGAAGTCATGCTGAGATTTCCGTTGCATCAAAACGTCTCTTCACAAGGTAGTTAAAGGCACTTTCACTCTCAGATGCTTTTGTCATTTCAGATTAAGACACTGCTCTGTTGTGAGTTTGCGCTAATCAGATGTTCCAGGCAGGTTTTTTCTTTTGGTTTTTTTAGCTCCTTTGTGCCAAGTACATCTTAAATGAGCCAATGAGAAAAAAACATTGGCCTCTTGTACCATTTCAGTTCTTAGCAACATTTTCTTCACTTTTGTCACAAAAATTGGATTTTGTTTGTTAAATTTTTTAAATTATTTTATTGCAAAATGTAACGCCTGTAAAAGTTCTATAGAAATGTTAGAAATCATGTAAAACAAATTTTTCACAGAGATGAGTTAAATGTCAGGTTTTAACATGTAATTTGATTCATTTAGACACTGCTGCTCAGTCTCAACTCGCTTATTTAATATTACGTTTTATTGTTTCTTCTAGACAATTTCTAAACTTGAGAATTTTGTTTCCTAATTTTTAAGCTTTAATAAAGGTTTTCAGCTCCCAACACTTTTGCCAATAATGGAAGAATAAACGCCTAAAAATATGAGGCTGCCTTACTCTAAACAGAAAGAAAATCTACCTAATCAGGAGGAATTCCTGCTACCTCAGCTACTAAGAAATCAAAACATCCTGAAGTTGAAGAGAAACTGTTTTATTCCAAATCCCTTTTCCTTCAAATTTGCTGAAAACTGAATTCCTCTGCTGCCATGAGAAAAATGAGGAATCTTTAAAGCAATGTAGATTCTTGAAATTAGTCAATGATTTATTTTGAAATCGAAACCATTCTTTGGTTTTACCTGCTCATTAGTCACAGCTTTACGCTAATGCCTGCCTGGCTTGGTGAAATCTAAAACGGTTTTCAGAAATTAGAAGCAGCCTTTCAACCTCATGCCCCTTTTTTATATACAAGATGCTCAACCATGAAGCTTGATTCTCTTCATTTCTTTGTTTTGTCTCAAAGAATAGTCCTCTGCAGCTGTTTACTGTAAAAAATAATGCAACGTCACAACCTTAGAGTGGGGTTTGTGTGTTATTATAAAACCTCCTGTTGAGTGAGCCTATAAATGACAACGAACCAAAAATATAAAATACCACCGTAGCGCAAGCTGTCCTTTTTCTAACAAAGATGCTTTTAATGTTTTATCTTTTATTTTCAAAGATTGTATTAGTACTTTTATTTAGTTGATTTTTTGATATTGTCTGTTTTTTTATCTCTGTATGCCTCCATTTCTGTTTATATAAAGTCAAGACAGCTTTATTTATACAGCACATTTCCTACACAAAGGCATCTCAACGTGCTTTACAGCAATAAAGACAGACTAAACAAACACAGAAATGAACAATGGGATTCATAAATATGACTAAAACTACAAAGTTTACATAATATCAACTAAACATTGTGAAGAGAACTAAATGGGATCAGCCAGGCAATGCTTAGTAGGTGAATTCACTGATTAAGCTAAAGGTGTAAGGAGACTAAAACGAAGGCAGTAAAATCTGGTGCAATGAACTACAAAAAACAATTGCTGAAAATGAACAGATTGTCAATGTTTTGAGTTGGTAAGAAGGCTAACCATGAATTACAATGAACTAAAAACATTAGGGTTGCAGGAATTAAGCAGACCAAACATAGAGCTGTGAAAACTGGTGAAATGAACGACAATGAATTACAGAAAACAGTGATGACTAGAGAACTAGCAGAAATTCTGTAATTTGGGTAGATAAAAGTGCTAACCAGGAATTACTGAGTGCAAGACGACTGTAGCTAAGGCAGTAAAAACTGGTGCAATGAACTGCAGACCAGAACTAAAGCTGTGACACTGGTACTAAAACTAACAATTAAAACTAAGAAAGATCAGGTAGGAAGGGGTAACCAGGAGTTACTGTGTGTAAGGTTTCAGGTCCGGGGAGGCTGAGCTGGCTTAGAGCAGGAGTTCGCTTGTGGCGTGGCTGTAGGACCCAAATGCAGAGTAGCTGATTTTGGATTGGATAGAGCATGCAGTTTAATATAGGAGCTGCGACACAGCACTCAGAGGGAACCAAGACTGTGTCGCAGTTGCGGAAATATGAATAGGCTGACTTACTGTGAGTAGACTGTGTGGATGAGTGACATATAGGTCTGGATGGATGGTGAGCCTGAGAACTTGGTGCAAGGTTCGAAACAAATGATGACAGAGTAATGATCCGGTGGGGGGCACTTCTGTATATAGAGTCTGGATGATGACGTAGTCGGGCTGCGCCGGTGTTACAACCCAATGCAAGATAGGGGTGCAGAGGAGAGGAGACAACCGGCTTGAGTTGGGAAAAATGAAAGACTCGGGGGCAGGGAGGCGCAGCCCATACGTGACTGGGTTGACGACCCTTGGGACAGGGAAAGGATCCAGGAAACGGAGTGCGAGCTTGCGGGAGCCTACTGGCATCCTCAGGTTGGCGGAGAAGAGCCATGCCCAGTCACCCGGTTGAAAGGAGGGGCCAGGCTGGTGGCGATGGCAGTGTTGGCGGGCATACCCCGCGTTGGTCCAAGTGATTGTCGCACATGCTTGGATCCAGGCAAGGTGTTACCTGTGGATCAAGGTCCGACCAGCCAGGACCTCCACTTCCGGTTCCTGGTGGTTGAAAAGTGCAGGTTGGTAGCCATAACATGTCTCAAATAGGGACATCCCATTGGCCAAGGAGACATAAAGACTGCGTGACGACTCAGCCCACAGGAGATAACTTGGCCAGGTCGACGGTTGGGAAGACACAAAGCAGCGTAGGTATCGTCCCAGTTTCTGGTTTGTGCACTCTGTCTGGCCATTGGTCTGGGGGTGGTAGCCAGAGGACAGACTGGTCAAGGCCCCAACCAGATGACAGAACACTCTCCATAAGTGCAAGGTGAATTGGGGTCCCCGGTCCGACACCACATCCTGAGGGAAACCATGAAGCCGCACCACCCTTTGCCCCTTTGGGGAGGTCTCGGGTGGTAGTGACCGGTTAGGGTAATGAAGGCGGTCTTCCACTCTTCCCCTTCCTTTATGTGTACCAGGTCGTAAGCACTGCGAAGATCCAGTTTGGTGAACAGAGCGGATTAGGAGATGGACTCCAAGGAGATGGTAATGAGGGGAAGAGAGTGAAGATCACGGATCTTTATCTTGTTTAGCCCTCTGTAATTTATGCAGGGGCAGCGATCCCCCTTTTTCTTCCTTACAAAGAAGAACGCGGCCGCTCCCGGTGCGGTGGATGGGCGGATGAATCCCTGTCGAAGGGCCTCGTTGATTTAGGAATCTATCGTCTGGGTCTCCGCTGGAGAGAGTGATTACAGATGACCTCGAAGAGGAGTTGTTCCAGGTTACAGCCTGATCTCCAGGTCATATGGTCGGTGTTGTGACAACCTGGTGGTAGGGCGCTTAGCAAAGACCTGGGCCAGATCATGATATTGAGGAGTGACGAGCTTCAGATCCACTTTTCCAGGTGGAATTGGGTCAGTTCAGGGGTCCCGGAGGACTCGGTGACCGGGAGTATGGTGCAGTGTGGGGCAGAAGATGTGGTGGCTCCAGACGGGTTTGCACCCACTCCGACCCGGAGTTGCATTTCCCAGCCTTAGTGGGCACACCACCCGGCAGTGGCCCATAATATTGATTAGACTAAAGGTGACTAGAACTAATGCAGTAAAAGCTGGTACGATGTACTACAAACATTGATGACTGAAATTTGTAACCAACACAAATTCAATACTTTGAATATGTAGGAAGGTTAACCAGGTGCTACCAAGAGTAAGGCGCAGAAATCTAACGTAATATAAATGAGTAGTGTTCAGCGGGAAATGGCTAAGTATGTATCAGTGTAACTGGTACTGGCATTATCCTGTTACACAGTAACATCAATGCAATATTCAACATGTGTTCAATACTCGTGCAATACCAGATGAACATTAGTGTCCCTTTTTTGTATAGTTCTGGAAACACAAGTTTCCCTTTTATTCGTTGGTTTTAGTGGTTGAAGGTTACAATAATAGCTCACTGCCTTCATGTGTTTACCTGTAATTCCTGTTATTTTTTATCTTCCTTTTTTCTAAGTGTTGATGCTGCTGTAGCAAGTGGATTTCCCCCCTGTGGGATTAGTATTCTATTCTATTCTATTCTATTCTATTCTATTCTAGTCTATTCTACATCTGTGTGTCTGTTCATACAAATATATGCTGTTTATTTATTGCTTTTTTGTAATATAATAATTTATTTATCTTTTTTTCTTCTTCACTGACTATACTGTGTGTGTTTGTGTGTGTGTGTGTGTGTGTGTGTGTGTGTGTGTGTGTGTGTGTGTGTGTGTGTGTGTGTGTGTGTGTGTGTGTGTTTATTTCCAGATTTCTCTCCTCATGGTAACAAACGTTGTTTTGAAGCATCTAAAACATCCTAAATGACTCAATTCTAACATTTTTGTTCCTCCTCTTTCAGTTACTACAACTGGAAGACACAGGTGTCCACATCCAACTCCAGCACCAACTTCCAGGTGATTTATGATGACCCAAATGGGATTCTCTTTCAACACAAGAAGGACAAAAAGATTCTGAACGTGGATCCTTTGGTACGTTTTCTCCTCCTCTTCTCCTTCCTGTTGTCCTGCTTTGCTTCTAGCCCCAGATAAGATCCACTCACCTGTTCCATCGCTGTGGAGATGTCAGATATTTGTCAGTGGTTTAAATAAAACCAAAAAAAAACTTCCTTTTCTGAGACACTCAGATTTCAGAGCCGCTGAGGGTCGCTGAGGGTCGCTGTTGGGCGGTGGTGGTGGTGGTGATGGTTTTGGTGGGGGGGGTATTTGCTTTCCACCTGCAGAAAGAATGAAGGATCAGTGGGTCTGGGAGACAGGTGCTTCCTCCACACAGACTGGAAAAATGACGGCTGACAGGGATGGCTTCATTCTCTCTCTGGTTTTCCTCTTTGCTGGGGGGTATGGATGTAGTTGGTGGGGCTGAACTATTTTTGAAATTGCAGACAGAGCTGTGGGGACTGCGTTTTTGAGGCCAAGCGCCAAAATGGCAGCAGAGTGTTCAAGCTGTGGTTGAGCCCCGCCCCGACCAGGCCGTCTATTAAAAACAAGCAAAGGCACAGGAAGCCAGACACATCAAACCACCCGTAGACCCAGAAACCCAGCCCGCTTCTGCCCAGAGCCATCCGTTAAGAGCTCCAGCTGCTGAGCCACCCTGGAACAGAGCCGCTGAAAGCAGCCACGGCTTTAGACCTTCGTGATGGCGACTCTGTGTCCTGGCCAGAGAGGTGGCTCCAATAAAAAAGTATTCAATGAAGTGTAATATTCCATAAACATATGGATTATCAGTATTACTGAACCTTTAATACTCGGTTGATGATGAAACTCGGTACTTTGGTTAATCCAGGTTTCTTACTATATTAATGATAAAAGACTTTATATGAATGGTGACACAGTGATGTTAAATGAGACCATGAATGAACTCTGATGTTTGAGTTTTCTAAGTGACTCAGAAAGGTGTGACGTCTGGTTTATTAAACACATCTGGCTGTTTGTTGGATGTAATTTAACAAGTTATTAGATTAATACCAACCACTCTGACATTGTTGTTTACTCTACACACCCTGGATCATGGAAGCTCTGGAGATCCGGTCTGCAGGTGAAGCCGCCTCTCAGAGCGAGTGAGTGGACTTCTGATGTATCTGAAGGTCGTAGACACGACTGGTCAGAAGATACTTCCCAGGTGGCTTCTGGTGGATGGGTTCATGTCTGATGAGTGGGTTGAGTAAATGATAGTTGTTGATTCGTAAGGATGGTTCATGTGCTGCTGAAGTTATTCCATCTGGTTGATTCCCCAGGATGGTCATTTAGCACGAGCTGTGAGCTTTGGAGGAGCTCTGACAGAACTGGTTAAAATATGAAGTGAGTTCACTTTTAATGAAATGGTTGTTGATGAACTTTGACCAACCAGATCTGATAAATGTGTCCAGGTGTTTACCACGACCCTCAGCCACTCCCCTTTCTGAGACGCTTAGAAAGCTTATTTCACTTCATATATGGAGAGGAGATGCGCGCAACATGAAGAGCGCAAATATTAGATAAAATGTATAATTGCCGGCAGATCTGGTCTTTGTTGACTGATCACTTTGTCTGGTCATGACTGACTCTGATTATGAAGCAGATTGTTGACTCTGATGAAGAAATTCACTCATCCAGCCGGGAAGATTGACGCTGTTGCAGCATCAGACAGCTGGTGCTGCACGAGAGGTGTGAGGAGTTTACAAGCTCCAAACGTTGGGTTTGATGTTGGTTTAACCTTCTCTGGAGCGTGATGGATGTAGAAATGATGGTAAAAACACGCTAATGTGACAGACGTAGCAACAATGTAAAAAGAGCCGTAAAAAGAGGCAGATGCCGATGCGTTATATATGGAAGTCAACTGTGCCACATAATCATAAAAAAAGTAAAATATAAAACTTAAAAAGAGCTTTATTTATTTATATATGAATTAAAACTTTCCAAATATTATGAACATTTCTAAATAACATAAAAATACGAAGGAACATCTGTTGGTCAGACTGAAAAGTTTGGGAACCACTGCAAGTTAATAGGGTTGGGCATCGAGCATCAATTGGAACCGGTGTGTATGTGTACGTACGTGTGTGTGTGTGTGTGTATGTGTTTGGTACATCAGTTCAGTTCATTTTTATTTCAAACATTTCACACATGTATCATTACAAAACATATTTTCATTATTTGTTTGAAAATGAGTAGGCAGAAGTATTAACTTATTTATCCCTACCCCCAAGTTTTACCTCTTATTCATTTAATTTTCTTTCCATCTTAAATTAAACAAACCACCTATGAGAAAAAATTATGTATATAAAAAAACAAAACAACATATGGAAAACAGAGAATGTGTAAATTTGCAGATTCACCAGTTATGGAGAAAGAAGATAAACGAAACAAACCAAAAAAACACTGAAAAAGAAGCACAACAGCTTCTCCCTGTACCCCACATTATTAATTATTCTAGTGGCCTTTTTCTGTATTATAGTTATCGTCTGTATGTTACTTTTGTATGTGTTTCCCCAGACCTCTACACAGTAACTCATATATGGCAGTAGTAATGCACAGTATGATATGTGCAGGGCTTTCTGATCCAGTATATTCTTTGCTTTCCCCAGGATGGCAACGAACCGTGCCAATTTCCCCCAAACATAAGTAATGTGTGGCTTCCAACAGAGCTTATGGTCAATGATCACACCAAGAAATTTAATTTTATTTACTCTTCCTAAATATACATTATCCACACAAATGTCAATTTTATGTTTGTATTTTGGTTACCAAATAACATAAATCTAGTTTTATCTAGATTCAATGATAATTTATTTATATCAAACCACTTTTTAATATCGTTAATTCCTGTGTGATCATCTCCAAGACCTGTGGCAATTCCACACCTGAACACAGCATATTTGTGTCGTCTGCAAATATTACAAACTTAAAATTTTTTTATACTCTACAGATATCATTTAAGTACATAATAAACAATTTGGTCCCAGTACTGAACCTTGAGGTACTCCACAAGCTATATCCATCAAATCAGATTTGTATTCATTTATTTGTACATATTATTTCCTATTCCCTACATAGCTTTTTAACCAGTCCCCAACGATTCTCCTAAACCCTTTCCATTTGTTTAAATAGAATTTCATGATTAACAGTATCAAACGCCTTTTTTAGGTCTAAAAAAAACTCCCAAGTGCATATCTCTTATTATCCATACAGTCCATGCATATCTCTTCCATTAAATCTATCAGTGCCAAAGCTGTTGATCTGTTGCTTCTGAACCCAAATCGGCTATCTGTCAGTAATTCATATTTTTCCACTAAACCGTCAAATCTTTTTATGAGCAGTTTTTCCAGTATCTTAGAAAACTGGGAAAGTATTGACACTGGTCTACAGTTTGTAAAATGATGCCTTTCACCGGTTTTGTAAATGGGAATAACTTTAGTCACTTTCATATCCTGTGGAAAAAACCCTTTTTGAAATGACAAATTGAATATATATGTTCATGGTTTTACAATACAATCAATGACTGTTTTTGCTGTTACTCCAACTATGTCATAGATCTCTTTCTCTTCCACTGCTCTAAAAAATATTGAGCTTTTATTCCTTTCAATATTTTCACCAGTGTCCCTGGAACTTTGTCCCCCCCAGTTTGAAAATCCTATCTGCGCCCCTGGGAGAGAGGTCCAGAGTCTGGGGGGCACAGCAGCAGATGATCTGTCACCTTTGGTCTTTAGCCTGGTGCTGCACAACCAGTAGGCTTTGGTCACTGGACCTCAGGGACCTGCTGGGGGTGAAGTTACTTTCTCTTGTTTCTAACGCTGAACCTCTGACCCAAAGGGAGTTAGAAGCTAGGCGCTGCCTCAGCTCAGTGTGGAGAGTGGCTAGTTTTAGGGTAGAGAGGTCATGTGATCCAGTCAGTGTGTGTGTTTACTAGTGTTGGATTGTGTTCATGTTGATAAACTAGAGTGCGTGAAGACTGTACCAACTCCAGCCTGTCTGGACATCGAGTCCACGGGTTTCCAGATCAGAGGAACAACGCCTCTATCTCCGTGCCTGAATGTGTTTCTGCAGCTGAAAAGACGGACTTCTGTAGCCCACATCAGTCGGTACCGGGACAGGGAGGTCCGTGCTGGGCTCCAGAGACCCGTGGTGGGGTTTAAAAATTAAATGTGGATTTCTGGAGCTCAGATCACCGTCAGAACCAGGTCAGAACCGACCACCAGCAGAGACTTGCTGCTCAGTTGGCCAACTGGTTTCCGGGTCAAAACCAGATCAGAACCACTGCCTGGACCACCAGAAGAGGATGCGCAGCTTTTAAAGGTCCCAGCTGGACTGGCTCGCTGGTGTCTGGGTCGGATCCAGCCCACAGAAGCCTGCAATAGCTCCAGAACCGGATGACAGACGTCTCTCTCTCTAAGCTAAACTAGGTTAGGTGAACGGATATTAACGAGTATGAGACCGCTGACAGACGCTCTTTAGTATCAATATTATATTAACGGAGTGATACTACTTTAATTGTCTGGTACATGATAGTAATCTGTACTAAATTGTGATGCTAGCACACAAGGTTACGCTAACATGGTTAACTCAAGCCCCCCCCCCCCCCCCCCCCCCCCTTCCTGGTTTATAGGGCCTTACATGGACAAGCACCATCTTCCATTGGCGATCTTCTTAGTCCCTACTTTGAGTTGCATTTTTTTGTATGAAAATTGCTATATAAATAAAGTTGATTTGATTTGATACACCCCCAGCAGGTCCCTGAGGTCCAGTGACCAAAGACTGGTTTGTCTGGTTGTTTGGTGATTGGTTGTGCAGCACCAGGCTAAAGGTCAAAGGTGACAGATCATCTGCTGCTGTGGCCTCCAGACTCTGGACCTCTCTCCCCCTGAGCCTGAGATCAGTGGACTCAGTGGTTTCCTTTAACGTCACCTGTTCAGGTTTTGGTGGGACCTTCATCACCTCCCTCTCCTTGCTCTGCTCTTTCTACCTATCCTTGTTCCTACTTATTTGTGCAGCAGTAGCTCAACAGGTTGAGCGGGTTGTCCAGTGGTCGGAAGGTTGCAGGTTCAATACCGACTCCAGACAGAGAATTCTGCTGTTGTGTTCTTGGGCCAGACACTTAACCCACGTTGCCTGCTGATGGTGGTCGGAGGGACCGGTGGCGCCAGTGCTCCGCATCCAGCCCAGGGCAGCTGTGGCTACATCGTAGCTCATCACCATCAGTGTGTGAATGAGTGTGTGAATGGATGAATGCTACACTGTAGTGTAAAGCGCTTTGGAGTCCTTACTCTATACAAGTGCGGGTCATTTATTCCACCTTCCTCAGGATCCACTGATTTCCCTCTTTCCTATTCACGCTCTCTCTCTCTTTCTTAACATTTTTAATCACAATTGTCTATTTTTTGCTCATTTTTAATATATTTTTAATCATTTTCTAAATTCTTTTTTACATTTTTTGTTTTTGTGAAGCGCCTCGCGATTTTTAACTTGAGAGGCGCTATAGAAATGATCTTGTCTTCTTCTTCTTCTTCTTCTTCTTGTACTTTGAGTGAAAACTACCTGCCGTTAAAGAATATTTGCTGTTCTATGTCTGGAGCACCGAGTTGCTGCCGTTGTCTGGATTAACCTGCTTGGTTCTGATTCTGTTCCGGCTTTCAGGTTCCTCCTGGTGAGGACTCCACCAGGACGCTCATACAGTCAGACCTCTACACCCATGTTGTCATCTTGGACCACAGCATCAGAAGCATCTGAGCTTCAGAGACTGCTGCCGGCACCAGTATTCATGCTGGTGGGAAGTGGAAGCCTCTAATTTGACTGGGTTGCTGTGAGTTTCTCTGTATCGTGCATGCCATCTGGGTGGAGGTACTGCAGCTCCCAAAAGCCTCCCGTTAACTGATGAATCCCAGAGGAAGTAGCGGATGGACCGGAACTTCTAGTTTCTCCTTAAATGTGTCTATATTCCTTTTTTCTGCATCGGATTTCACATGTTCCTAGTTTCAGGGGTAGAAACCTGCTCAGGGACCCCGGGCCCATCCACCTAACATGTTTTGGGGTGTTTGTCTAAACAAATTAAAGGCGTGAGAGCTTTAAAAGATGATGGGGCGGTGCTTTTATGTCCTCCCCTAGGCTGCGGTAGCTCCAACTGGACTGGAAGAGTGGGTAAAGGGCTTAAAGCATTCCGCATGTTCCCAGATGCAAGGCAACACTGAGCAGGACATCAAAGCGCTCCATCATCTACATATTAGTCAGGCACTGACACGCTTTAATGCAGCACGACTCCACGAATCATCGGCTATTGGGAATAGTTTGAAATATGAAGAAGTTTACTTTTGTGGGTGAAACTGAAACCAACAATGGAAATGAAGACCGTCAGGAGCGTGGTCATAACTCAGGACAGGACCTCTGCTGTGTCTCAGACACTTTTATTAACCTTTTACTGTTCAACTCAAGGAAAAAGCAAACAATTTGTTTTATTTGTTCTTTGGGGGCAACAAATGTTGGAATAAAAGTTCTTTTAAGGTACTAATCATGTAAAAGGTAATAATAATATTTAGTTTGTTTGCAGACATTCTCATGTTGTGTTGATTTATTTGTTTAGTATTTAGATAAGATCATTTATCTGTTAAAGTATGAGATCTACCCCGTTCAAATCAGTATAATTAGATGTAGACATGAGAACAGGGATCCTGGATGGGCTGAAGGGTTTCTGCCTGTGTGTGTGTGTGTGTGTGTGTGTGTGTGTGTGTGTGTGTGTGTGTGTGTGTGTGTGTGTGTGTGTGTGTGTGTGTGTGTGTGTGTGTGTGTGTGTGTGTGTGTGTGTGTGTGTGTGTGTGTGTGTGTGGATGTGTGTGTGTGTAAGCGTGTGAGTGAGTGTGTGTGTTTTGTGTGTTTGCGTGTGTGTGTGTGTGTGTGTGGTTACATGTGTGTGTGTGGTTGCATGCGTGTGTGAGTGTGTGTGTTTTTTTGTGTGGTTGCGTGTGTTTGTGTGTGTGTGTGTTTTGTGTATTTGCGTGAGTGTGTGTGTGGTTGTATGTGTGTGTGGTTGCATGTGTGTGTGTGTGTGTGTGTGTGTGTGTGTGTGTGTGTGTGTGTGTGTGTGTGTGTGTGTGTTTGAGAGAGAGAGAGAGAGAGAGAGAGAGAGAGAGAGAGAGAGAGAGAGAGAGAGAGATAACAGTAACTGTAGCAGAGGAGAGACTTTTTAAATTGTTTTTGTGTCTAAAGGTGTTTTTTTAAACATTCTTCTTTTCTGTGTTTTTATCTGAGGAGAAAAATCTTTACTTTCTTTATTGTTTTTATTCTTCTACCTTAACAGCAGATTTTTTACAGAAATGTGAGGTAAAAAGCCAAAATGCAAGCACGTTTGTTGTCCTGTTGTATGTGAGGCGTGTTGAACGACCCCCGTGACCTCATCAGTTCAATTGTCGCCAGTGATTTTGCAGTAAAATTGGAGTTAAATGGTTATAGCCCCTTCATTTTGTTTATTGGGCTTTTAAGCCGTTGGGGTTTTGACTGAAGCGTGGTTTTATTAGTTTTGGGGCCTGACTTGCCACTACTACGCACCATGAGGTAAAGAAGTGGTTTCACACTAAACGGAGCTCCCAACAGCTGAGAAATGATTCCATCCACTAATGAAAACTCCATCTGACTTGAGCGTGATGTTTGAGCCACAGGGGGAATTCTGGGTCAACTTAATAAATATAAATGTTTCTCATCACATTTACATCTCCTAACCTACACAGCACATCTGGCTGTTAAATCAACACTAATCTGTTACGTTTGACACTGCTCCTGAGTGTTTTTGGTCCCCATCTGAACAGGCGTTAAATTAACTCTTTCATTGACTCTGAATGCAGTTCCAGGCGATTCTCATCACTGCTACTTCCAAACACCGGGGGAGTTTTGACAACTCTTATGAACTCTGTTATTTTGACACAGCTGATTTTACGTATTTGTAAAGCGCCTTCTTAGGGATCTACAACCCCCCAAGGCAATCCACAACACCATCATTCACACACTGGCTGGGATGAGCTACGATGTACTATGTATGTACAATGCATGGGGCAGCAGTAGCTCAACAGGTTGAGCGGGTTGGCCACTAATCAAAAGGTTGCAAGTTCAATCCCGGCTCCGGAAAATGAATTCTGCTGTTGTGCCCTTGGGCATGACACTTTACCCACCTTGCCTGCTGGTGGTGGTGGGAGGGACCGATGGCGCCTCTGTCAGTGCACCCCAGGGCAGCTGTGACTATGACAATGTTCATCACCACCAGCATGTGAATGGGTGTGTGAATGGATGAATGATACACTGCAGTGTAAAGCGCTTTGGAGTCCTCTGTCTCTGAAAGGCGCGATACAAGTGCGGGTCATTTATCATTTATCATGTAGCCACAGCTGCCCTGTGTTCGCAGCTAGTTAGCAGCTAGCTGATGACCCCCCTCCATGAGGTCACCACAGCTCAGCAGAACATCACTGTAGCTTCTTCTGGGGAGAAAAACACTTAGAGAAAAAATAAAGTTAACAGCTGAAATAGCAGGAAATGATACAGTTAAAGAGCAGATTGTAGAAGAAAGTGGTCAGTGTGTCCTCCAGCAGTCTAAGCCTATAGCAGCATAACTACAGAGATAACTCTGGATAACCTAGCTGTTGTGATGGAGGCATGTTGGAGGCAGGCCAAGGGAGAGCTGTCTTTACCGACTGTACACGCCACCTCCTTCTACTCCCCCACTTGTCCAGATCTAGGCTAATATCAGATTTTAACCACAGGCCCTATCAAATAAAAATGTTTTAGGCCTGGTCTTAAAAGTAGACAAAGTGTCTGCCTCACGGACTAAAGCTGGGAGCTGGTTCCACAGGAGAGGAGCCCGATAACTAAAAGATCTGCCTCCCATCCTAATTTTAGATATTCTGGGAACCATCAGTAAACCTGCAGTCTGAGAACGAAGCGCTCTGTTTGGAACGTATGGAACAATCAGGTCACTGATGTATGATGGAGCTTGATTACTGAGTTTTATAAGTGAGAAGGAGGATCTCAAAGTCTAGTCTAAATTTAACAGGCAGCCAATGTATTAGTTTACATTTACTTAATCAATCAGAAATGCAAAATCCGAATATTAGAATAACCACTTCCTGATGAGTAGTTCTGACCCCAAAAAGTTCTGGCATACTGTCAAGACTATGGAAAATACCAACAAGTCCTCACTTTTTTTTTCTTTTTTTTCTAAAGCTCCAAATCAGGACCAGAGTCGTGTCAAGGAGTAAACATTCCAATACAGGCCAGGTCATGAAGCCAATCAGTAACAAGTTTCCTATATGAGGAACCCAGCAGGTTGCATCGAGTCACTGACTAGTGTCAGAGTCTTTATAACAATGCTCATACTAAGCAAGCATGCAGCGACAGTGGAGAGGAAAACTCCCCTTTTCACTTGCCAAATGCAATCAAATCTGATGGCATTGTTGTCTCAGATAAATTAAAATGGTAAAGTCCTTCAATAATCACTTTATTAAGTCCAGTTATGCCTTTGCAACAGCTACTGAATTTTAAGATGATTTAGAATTGATGTTGGTGAGAAATATTAGTGAAAAAGGACACGTTTGTGAACTGGAAACAAGATTTGTAGTAAACAGGTAAAAATATCACACACTAGGGTGAGGAGCGAGCACCACCTCAGCCCCGCCACGTGGACCCAAGGGATAAACCATCAATCCTGCTCAATGGTCAACTTTCCTCGCGGGGTCACCCATGAAGACAGTGGGAGGGTTAAGGTTACAGGATGGGTTAGGCGTGGAGTCACTAAAATTAATGGAAGTCAAATGAGGTGTGTGTGTGTCTGTGTGTGTGTGTGTGTGTGTGTGTGTGTGTGTGTGTGTGTGTGGCCTTATAAAGAGAGAAGGTGGTGTTCAGTCTGATGTTGTGTAGAGGTTGTTGTTGGCTGGTGGCGGAGCTCTCAGGTTCATGGGATCAGGAATTTCCTACAGAGGAAAAACATCTCAGCTAACATAGCAGTAGATCACACTGGATAACTTCCTGTGGTTGCATTTATTTCACTTATTTTATTACACTTATGTTTTATTACTTCTTACATCAGCTGTCTTTAGTGAGGCCATCTGTGTGTACACCTGTGCGATGACAATAAATGATCTAGAATACTGTTCAGTGTACTTCCTGAGTGAGTAGCTTTTTAAGGCCAAATTAACAAAATGACAAATTTCCCCGTTTGTTCTTTTTTAATGCATTGTATCTTTACTTTGTATCGGACCAGGATTCCGTATCGGAAGATAATCAAAAATTAAACAACTTGGACTCGGATCAGGGGAATAAGATGTGGTTTTAGATACAAATCAGCTTTAAAAACTAAAGCAGTTATTTATGAAATAACATTAATTAATGACACTACATGAAATGTGTGTTGTTTGAACTCAAGGGTCTCCTTATCTGAACTTTTGTTTGCTCCGCATGTGCCCCCTTTCAGCACCCGCCCCTTCAAAGGTCTCTGCACGGCCCTGCAGGGGAGGGGTTTATTTTACCTTTTTGTTGTTTGTTGTTGTTTTTAAAAGAAACAGAAAGTTGTTCATTGTTATAACTGTTGGTGAAGATTAGCTCAACGCAACCCCACCGATGGGTTCCTGCTGCTGCAGGTGCACATTCACTCTGACTCCCGGTTTGCTGCGCCTCCAGTTGTGTCCATGTTTTCCTGCTCATCTGTTCCATGCGGAAAAGATTAAATCCACCCGGTGTCCTGAGTGCTAGGAGGGACATGGCATGCTAATATTATTACCAGCAGATGTCCAAGGGTGGAGAAAACCCCTAAGAATTTCCTCGGCAGGGTGCAGGTTGGCGGGTGGGTGTTTGAACCCCGCCTGATGGAGGTGAGGAACAGTACAGCATCCGGATCAGACCGTGATGGCACAGGATGTGTGTGCTTAACTCCACTGACCTAAACAAAACAGGGTAGAAAGCCCTTAAAGCCGCAATAAGCCGCTGCTTTCAGCAGCGCCACGCAGACGCACAGCTCTGCGGAGCAGAAATTACGCACAGAGCTGGGCTGTGGCAGCCGTTCGGGTATTACATTCGATCCAGTAAACCGATGGAATGTTCTCTGGTTGAATATTTTCACTCTAATATCCTCAATCATCTGAGATCTCGACCCCTTCAGCTTCCGACAACGAGATAATTTGTCCCCAGGCTGAATGTGCGTAAAGGTTTTTGAACAGGAAACTCTCCCTCCCTCCCTCCGTGTGTGTGTGTGTGTGTGTGTGTGTGTGTGTGTGTGTGTGTGTGTGTGTGTGTGTGTGTGTGTGTGTTACTCAGCTGATCCCTCCAGCCCTATAATACTAAGCACAACATGCTTTACCTTCAATGAAAGCTGAGACGGGGGACGGACGGATGCCTGCTGGTCCTGAAATCCACTCAGACCTAGACCGAGAGCCTCGGTGTTTTCTGCGGAGGCGCAGCGTCTCACACCTTCTGCTATTTAAAGTCATTTATTGACTGTTGCATTTATCAACTATTTATTGTATTATCAAAAGCAGACATCCAGGATAACCCATCCTCTCGTTGCGCCTGGGACCGCGTGTTGGACCCCTCGGGTGATGGTCTGTCCACTTGGAAGTAAGAGACACATCTGGAGACGCGACAGGTTGTCCACGGCTTTCGTTTCCCCTTTGCTACCTTTCCTGTGACTCAGTTATGGCTGTCTGCCCTCGCTTTGTGCTCGTGCTGCTGTACGGGGGGAGTTATCTGTGCGCTGGATACTGCGCGATGCTGAAATCGGACAATTTCCCGCAGAGACGGAAGGTGGATTTTACCCATTCAGTGGATAAAAAGCACACGGCGAAGGAAGAGCAGGACGCACGTTTACAGGATACGATGACGGAGCACATGCAGATGCTTTATGCGAAGTACAACCGCGCTGGATTCCCGTTCAGGGACGGGAACACGGTCCGCAGCTTCAAGGCGCACTGGGGTACGTATCCAAACTTTTGCGCATTACGCATTTGTCTAAAATCACTGAATGACGAGCGTGAAAGTTTTATTTTGTGAACGTTAGGAACACTCCTTTAGCTGCCTGCAGCCTTCTGCGCCTCTTTTCCACACATCTCAAACTTTTTTCCTGCTTCTGTTTAAACGTCTCGTGCTGCTGGGAGCTAAATCCACCTGTCGGCTCGCAGAAACGTGACCAACCTGTTCGTTGTTTGCAGCCCAACGTTTTAGGATTTGACTTCAGCAGGTTTAAACTCAGCTCAGGATCAGAGAACTGCTGCAGCAGCTTCTTCTGCTGACTTTCACCTCATCCGCGGTTCCCGCTGCTGGTGGAGTCCGAAGGTTGTGTCCTGCTGCCTCCTGTCGCCTGACGGCTGCATGCTTCAGCGCATAAAGGGCTAGTTCACCCAAACCACAAGACCTGACAGCAGATGGTTTAGGTTTCATCTTTACTTCGATCAGAAGTTTGGTGTAAAGCCGCCGCTGCAGGGAGAGTTCAGGGTTGGACCTGAAATGTTTAGAATATTTATTTTTGTGTTTAAACTTCCAGCCCGCTGTGTGTGCTACACGGTCCGGCCATAAAAAAGGGTCACGCAGTCTAACATCTGGGTGGACCTCCTTTAGCTTCTGCAGCATCGCCAGATTTATCTCCATCCAGTGTTGCATTAACGTCTCACCAAGATCTTGCGTTGATGATAGTACACTGTAAAAAGCAACCTATAGAAACTACCCAATAAACTTGAGGTAACTAGTTAATTTATACCCCATGTGTTGGTAAATAGTCCCTTATATTCAAAGTTAAGAAAATAATCCAACTGACATTTATTAGTAAATATTACTTAAAGAAAGTAGAAAATAACAAACTAAACTGTACACATGTGCCAGAGCTGGGACTGAACCTGCGACTTTCTTCTTATTGGACCACCTTCTCAGCTATCCTGCTGCCCAATGGAATACTGGTATGAATATGAGTTTATTCAAACAAAAGCGACAAAAGCTGGACTGCACTTGCATTCACTGTTGCTCAAGATTGTGTTTAGACCTGCTGAAAAATGTCCCCTGAAATTTTAGGGCTTCTGTACCTCTAGATACACGAATACTTGAAACGGAAAGCAAATCCAGCGCAGAACTGTGGGCAGACACTGGCCAGCATGTAATATTGTTGTGTTTGTTAATTACATAAAATAGGTAGAATTAACTCGTTTTTTTAATTTCAGTCTTTAAAGAGCAAGTCACCCCCAAATCAACTTTTATTTTTGCTGATAAACTAAATAAACAAGTGTCTAATTGTGCTGTAGACACATGTATTCAATAATTTGGCACTTCAGTGCGTCTTAGTTCAAACTCTGCCTAAAACCATAAGTGCTGTGCCGTCGTCAGGGAAAAATTCTGCACTGTATTTGAATTTAGATCTGCTACCGCTACTGGCTAAGAGGTACACTATGATGTCAGCTGATACATTATGATGTCACAATGTCGTTGTGAGCCTGTGTCTCAGTTCAGGGTCTGCATCCTTCTTCGGCCGGATTCGTCGGCCGGTTACGTCACAGCGCCGCGACTAGGCCTGTCCCAATTCAAAGACTCCTTCAAGTGCGGTCGACGAATTCGGCCTTCTTTTCGCCTGAATGAAGGATGGGTCCGGTGTATCCTTCAATAGTTTACATTTCCCAAGATGCCTTGCGGGCCGGACGGTAGAACTTTTAGAAACAATGGCGGACAGTGAAGCGGGAGCTGTCGGAGAGGATTGCGCATATAAATGTCAGTATTAACCTGAAAACTGTTAGGTTAAGGGCTTTTTGTGATACATGAACGTTATTTTAGTTAGAAATGTTACAGTAAAAGTGCTTGTTTCGCGGTCTCGGCTCGTATGTTCGGCCGCTCGGTGTCGTACTTCTCCCGCTACGTTTCCCCCCTGATTTTAATAGAAGTTTGTATTTTGGGGACAAAAGAGAAAACCAGGGAATTTTTTAAGCTTAGGGCGGAGATGGACCACATGATCACCGGAGCAAAGTATTCGGCGGCTGTGGCATGGAGGTACAATAACATCTCATATTTTAAAAACTGTCGTTTGAGTTTAGTTTTTTCAGCAAAGACATGAAAGGAACAACCCGTTGTCCTCTTTTCTCTTCCTGTTTTTTTTCTTACATGTTTGTTACGACTATTCTGGAGAAAATGGGCATCCAGGGGAAGGTGACAGCGATGACCAGCTTCTGGGGCTGGTCATCGCTGTGAGGGAGGCAGAGCAGCAGAGGGCACAGGAGAGAAGGGAGAATTTTGACAGGCTTTTACTTTGCTAGAAAAAAATGGTTAAGGAAGATTAAACATGTACATATAAAAGAAATATCTATATAAAATCAGTTCTGTATTAAACTGTTGAATTTTATTTTTGTTTACAAATGTGAATTGTTTAATATTACAGGGTAACCACTGGGTCTTGAAAAGTCTTAAAAGGTGATAAATCGGTTTTGGTCAAATGAAGACCCTTAGAAAGAATTAAAAACTAAACTATTATCACATCTTTGCTCAGGCTCAGCTTGTCGAAAGCATTTTCTCTGAATTAGCTCTCCAACAGTCAAGGAAATGATTAAAAAGCTAAATAAAACTTCCAGCTCCATCGTTTAAAGTTCCTTCTCCCTTCTGCTCAGCGATCCGCGGTTGCTAGGGGACGGAACGTTCGCCGAGGGAGTGGCGGGAATTCATGAAGGCTAGGCCTGTCCAAATTCTCAGCCGTTAACATCCGGTCTACTCGGATGACGGAGGACCCAGCCCACGTCTGCCGAGTGGGCTGGGTCCTCCGAAGGATGCAGACCCTGAATTGAGACCCAGCCTGTGTGTGTGTGTGCGCGTGTGTGTGTGTGTGTGTGTGTGTGTGTGTGTGTGTGTGTGTGTGTGTGTGTGTGTGTGTGTGTGTGTGTGTGTGTGTGTGTGTGTGTATTTGTTAGCGGCTCTGCCCTCGGTCTGCTAGGCAACAGCAATTGTTGCATTTTTCAAACACGAAGTGGGAGTGAAGTAAGTTTCTTGTAGGGGGTGACTTGCTCTTTAACTAATATATTTAGTCACATTTATATGATTTTAATGGGTGATATTTAACATCAGTGTAGAGTCTGACCGCTGCACAAAGCCTTCTGCAGCACATCCCAGAGATGGGTTCAGGTCTGGACTCTCCGATTCTCCAGATGGAGACTGTTTTGGTTTCTGTTGAAAACGTTCTGATCCAAACTCAATTTGGCATTTTGTTTTTTTTTTTTTGCATTTTGTAAACGGGTCTTATTTTCCACACAGGAACTATAAACAAGAAGGAGCTGCAGATCTTTAACCTCACGTCCCTCACCAAGTCAGAAGATGTCCTGTCAGCCACTCTTCATTATTACATCACAGACCTCCAGAACCAGAGCTGCTCCAGGTCCAAAAGCTGTGCCCGGCATGGCCCCCGAAGACACAGTCACATCCACATGGTCATCTGGAGCTTCGCCTCTGTGGACAACAAGATGAGAAGCCTGGGACACTTTCGGATCAACGCCTCCACGCTCTCCAGAGACTTCATCTCCTGGCAGTGGAAGGACATAACTCAGGTGGTGAATCAGGCCAAACACCACGACGAGCTCCTGATTGGGATTGACGTGGCCTCACAAGGGCCCCAGCCATGGAAGAAGCTCCTGTCCGACCGCTCGCCCTACATCCTGGTCTACGCCAACGACTCAGCCATCTCCGAGCCGGAGAATGTGGTTGCCTCTCTCCAGAGAAGCTACTCAGCAGGGCGGGGACCTTCAGCTTCACATGGATTCCACAAGCTTCGAGAGCAAAACCACACCAAGCAAGAACAGCTGAGGTCCAGACACAAGCGCTCGGTGAACGTTCTTCTCCCTCTGCAAAACAATGAACTCCCTGGACCCGAGTATCCCTATGAGACGCCCGGCTGGGACGAGACCAGCCCGTATGAGCCTTTAGGAACCAAGCAGCCTCGTCATCCTCGGAAAAAGACGCGCAAGAATCAGCGACAGCGGTTGCCTCTGCTGCAGTTTGACGAGCAGACAATAAAAAAGGCGAGAAAGAAGCAGTGGAACGAGCCCAGGAACTGCGCCCGCAGATACCTGAAAGTGGACTTTGCCGACATCGGATGGAGTGAATGGATTATATCGCCCAAGTCGTTCGATGCTTACTACTGCTCAGGATCCTGCCAGTTCCCCATGCCAAAGGTGAGAATCACACCCTCATCAGTGTTCTGCACCTTAGTCTCAACCTCCCGTCAAAGCCCTTCCGGCCTTAAACTCTCTAGATCAGCATCAGGATCAGTACCTTCGTCTGAAACCTGCCGCGGGTTAGAAACTAGACCCTGTCGTTATCATTGCTTTGTATTTAAAGCTTCAGCGGGTTTGTCTCACGAGGAAAATTCTCTCTAACCACTAAGTTTGTTTGTTTAGGGTTCGTTTGTCCTCCAGACGTTACGGTCCATAGGTCCATCCGGGATCGTTTCAAGCGTTATGGACCTCTTCGTGCAAGTCCATATCAAACCGAGCCTGCAGGACTCATTTGTGAGAGAGCTAAAGACGTTTAGGGTTAGAGCCCTGCACTCCCTGCAGAGTGGAGAACATTAAGTAAACAGTGCGGGCTGCGTTAACCCATGCAGCGAGGCCTCTGTGTTTTATTACCTCGGGTACCATTAAAGCCTAAAGTGCTTGAAATACGTCTGTCTTGCGTTATAGATGATAATCCCAAACTTTTACAAGCTTTAATCTTCAGCTGCCAGAATAAACTACTTACAGTTGTTCCACTGCAAGAAGATCCTGTCCGTTTCCTCCTCCGCGGTGCTTCTGAGGAACCCAGATCACCAAGGTCTGAAGATGCACGTCAAGAGTCGATTTGTGTGCTTTCATGAAAAGCAGGTTGTTCAAAGTAAAGTCCCGAAGGGCCGGCCGTGCAGGTAGCTCAGGTGAAACTGACGGCAGGTGTCAGATCTGTTTGGTTTCTTCCGTATTTAACAAGGACACCAAAGCAACCACGGGGCCAGGTAACCCCACAGGTACTTTAAACATGGCTGGAATGCTCCGACCTCTTTAATTCATCAGCTCCGAGTCGCTGCCCTTTGTGGTTGGACGTGATTAGTCCCAGAAGGTTCAGGGCCTGCGGGGGTCCACGCCTCCCGCCGTGCAGCTTCACCTCCAGCAGGTGTTCGCCTCAGAAGCTGCTGGTCGGACACGCGTCGTAGGAGGTCCAGTTTTCAGTTTCCTGCTTTCACTCGGCTGATAAGATTTATAGGTTTGGTGTGAACAGCTAGACAGAAGCTGGTGTGTTACCCCTGCACCTTTTCAGGAGCCAGTCAGAAAAATAAAGCAGTTCACAAACTTTGATGCTTGGCTGATGGCTCAGGGTCAGGGTACAGCTCTGTGGCCTTGCAACCAAAAAAAAAAAAACCAATATTCTCAATAATCTAATGTGACTTTGGGGTTTTTAGCTGATATGGAAACATTTTTGTCCCTTCTGCTTCAGGCTCTAAAGCCATCGAACCACGCCACCATCCAGAGCATCGTCCGGGCTGTGGGCGTCGTCCCGGGCATCCCCGAGCCGTGCTGCATCCCCGAGAAGATGTCCTCCCTCAGCATCCTCTTCTTCGACGAGGACAAGAACGTGGTGCTGAAGGTCTACCCCAACATGACCGTGGATTCCTGTGCCTGTCGATAGTTCCTCGCTTGCTCCGCGCCTGTTCGAACCTCAAACCACCCGGAAAACCCCCACATGAGAAACAGTTTAGTCACTGAACACAGCTTCCCTTTTGCACTGGAGGAGAGCGCCTCCTGTTGGTGAGGAGGAAATGGGTTTCATTGACGGATGCTGAGAACAAACTGTCCATCAGATCTTCTCACATCAGCATCTCTGTGGCCTGTTGGACACAAACCAGCCACCCGAGGCTTGTTGGAGACGAAACAAACCTCAGCTTGAACTGATGCCTTCCACGCGTTACCACAAAGCCACCTCTGCTCACGTGTGCATGGTTTTTGCTACTTCCTGTATTTATGTTGGTACCTTCACTGAGTTATGTTCACATATATTCATTATTGGCTTGGCTGCTATATTAGAGTCCAAAGCCAGGACTACGTAGATGATAGATTAATCCCGGCTCCACTCACTCTTTACTTTAGGCGTTTATTATTTCAGGAGAGTGAGCTATGTGTTGTTTTATGTTCGCTGGTGTTGAATGTGCAGCATGGAGCCACAGATATGAAACTAAAACGCCTGAAAACAGCTGCACCTGTATCAGGATCCGATGGCTCCAGGTCAGCGGGGCCGGTATCGGAGCACTTCACAGGGACACCTCAGCTCCTCCGGAAAGGTGAACACTCATCTGACCTGCTCGGAGCTCCGGGAATAAACCGAATTTAGAAATCGAGTTTAATTCTGCCCAGACTGACCAGTTAACTGGTCACTCTGAGCCAGAGAGGGCTTCTGTCTCGCTAACCGTTTACACACTGTTAACTCATTTTAGTTCAAGTCGAATACTATTAAATAAATGGAAACCTGATGCTCCTCCACCGAAGAACAGCGAGCTCGTACAATGTCAGCTCCACTGACGTTTGAGACCCTCGATCTCATCGAAACCATTTATGGTTTAAATCCAAACTAAATCAATTCTAAAAGACGTTTGAGTCAAAAGTCAAATTTTATTATACTCCATTATTTTTTCTCTTTTATACTCATTTACAGTTTATTGTCACCCTTGTTGCTTCAGGTGCAAAGGACGAAAGATGTGCTAGCACTGTTAGCACGTCACAACGCTGTTCTTCCACCTGGAGGGTCACCGGTCCCGTATTCCTATATCCTGTTTTGTTTTTTACGACGCTGCTGCGACATTTTCCAGGCTTCGCGGTAGTGATCCACTTTGGCTCGTTTGTTCAGCCTGGACTAATCCCTGTTTTTCCAAACTGAGGTTGTTCGCAGAAGCAAAAAGATCTGAAGTGAATGTTCGATGCTTCTGGGCTGGTCTTAAAAACCTGGAAAACCTCAGCATGAGTGGAGTTTCATCGCCACCACACTCAGTATTTATTCAGATAAACCAAACTGGTGTTTTTCTGTCTACGTGGTTTTGTAAATAACTGATAGGAGCGCTTTGTGAATGACGGAATTTCTTTGTTTGGATTGGATTTGGAGTGACTCAAGACTTTTGGAGCGAGATTTCTTCAGACGGTTTTTGTGGCTGGGGACCGCGGTGGTTTAATGTCTGGTCGCTCATGTAGAAACAATTTTATGTTGTTCACTAGCGGGCAAATTGTTTAACTTAATACTTTTGTTATAGACACTTTTTCATTGGACGCCTCTTTGCTTTAGAGGACTTTACCAACGAGTTCGACAGGAAGGGTCTTCTGCAGGTGGGAATCAGCTCATTCATCCTCACCATCTTGTAAATGTTTGATTTAAAAAGAAATGCTTGTACAATAAGCTTCATAAAGTATATTTGTATATGGAAAAGACACATCTATTTATTTACTGTATGTAGCATATCCTGCGTAGGCGCGATGGGGAAGGGGAGCTGGTGGTCGTTCCACCTTTGGACGGACATTTGTCACTACTGATGTGAAGGAGCCCAAAGGGTCTCCCTCCTCTGAGCTCCTCTTTCCAGAGTGGAAGGAATAAATAAAATATACGAGACAGGTTTGTCAGAGGACTGTTTTCTCTTGAAGTCTGCTCCCCTCCTGTTGCCGTGACGACTTGGTGTTAAAAAGGTAAAAAGCACTTTTGAAATGCAACAGTTTCCCCGGTCCTGATCAGAGGCTTAAGACCAGGTTCCTAGCAGAGCTTCCACACGAGGAAGGACCACACCTCTGCCCCCACTCTGTGTGTGTGTGTGTGTGTGTGTGTGTTTACCGTCGGTTTTCTTAGACTGAAGTTAGTTTAGATGTCACACCCGGTCAGATTTGCAGCAGCTTTGATTAAATAATTGAACAAACTAGTCTTAAATTTTCCTTTTTTATTTACAGAAAACGTTTTTCACCAGAAAAATTCTAAACAACATGTTAAGGCAACACCTTCTGTGAGTGTAACAGGTGTACAGACCCGCATTCACCTGTCAGCCAGCAACAGTACAACATCTGTGTTTCATTACCTGGTTCTTTTTCCAACACAGCAAAAGTGTTGTGCCCTTGAGCAAGACACTTAACCCACGTTGCCTGCTGGTGGTGGTCGGAGGGGCCGGTGGCGCCTGTGCTCGGCAGCCTCGCCTCTGTCAGTGCGCCCCAGGGCAGCTGTGGCTACATCGTAGCTCATCACCGTCAGTGTGTGAATGGGTGAATGACTGATTGTGTTGTAAAGTGCCTTGGGGGGTTCCAGGACTCTAGAAGGTGCTATATCAAATACAGGCCATTTACCATTTTTTGCTGACGTTTTGACCGATGCTGTAGCCTTCCTCAGAGCTCGCCGCTGTTGGCGGCGTCTCTTCCTTCTGTGTTTGTGCGTGCTCTACCTGGCATCGGCAACACACAACGGAAAACAACAGAACAACCAAAACAAAGAATCAGAAATCCCGAAAAACAAGAACCAGAACCAGTGATGACCCTTCCATACGTCAGAGGCATAACACAAAAAATAACTGCAACTAAAAAACAACAACATAAACACACAACAGATAGAAAAGATTAGTACACCCACAGGACGAGATTTCAGCAGGTAGATAATGTGGTCGTATGGAAATCCCAGGTAGACTCTGCAGTAAAACGCACGTAAGAGAAACCGGACTAAACACACGAACAACCGAACATCACAGGAGTGTGAGAGGGAAACAAGTGTGAGACACACAAGAGCAGAAAGTACAACAAAGACATCAGCTGTAAGGGACCCCTGCACCAGAGAAACCCACATAACGGACTGGGACGGCACACGGGTCATAAACACACAACAACACAAACATAAAAGCAGCAACACAGATAAGGAGGCGTGGCCACAGGACCACGGACAGAGACGATGGAGTCTACACGTTGGATCACTCATGGGACCGTGTCATCGGTGAGGAGGACACAGGTGGTGGAGGGCGACACCGTCCTCTGCTGCCCACAGATAACAGGAAGTGACGTCACTAACGCCGGCAAGCTCTGAGAATGGCTAGAGTGAGTCGAAACAACAGCAAAAACAAGGTAAAAATAACACCTTTGCTGTGTTAAAAAGAGCCAAGTAAAAATAGGAAATGCTGGAGGAAGTATTCACACAAGCGTGGTGTTGCGCCGAAGCTCTTAGACCTGCTGGAGGTCTCCTCTCTGCTCCTCCACACATCAACACCTGAAAATGAGCAGCTTCACCATGACATGCTGACACCTTAGGTGAAGGAGGGGTTCATGTGTACTGGTGCAGGATAAACCTGCTGAAACAAGGGACAAGCATTACCCTCATCCTTTCTCCTGCCCGCAGCTAAAAACAAACAATTCACTAATTCTCTCAGCTGGAAGACATGAAAACTCCACAGCTGCACCACCAGTTCTTCCACAAACCACATCTGGAACCAGCATGAAAACATGAATGTAGATAACTGGAAAGAGATTGTGTTTTAGAGACGCTCTAGGTCTGTGGGTGGTGACAAGAACTCTGATCAAGGCGTTTTCCTCCACAGACCTGCAGGCTGTTAGAAAGATTTCGAACAAAAACTCTAATGAAAAGTTTTCCGGCTGCAGGAGGAATATTTTTGGCTGTTTTTGGCCACATTGTGTTTCTAAACCCATTTTTCTGTTACTTTGATTTGAATCATTGATCAGGTGAACCTCCTTGTTCTTCATGAGCAGCTCTGGTTGGTGTATTACAGGATAGATATCCATCCTAAGCATCTGAACCTCACATTTCCAAAACCATCATTTTAACGTTGCAGCTCATAACTGAGGTGAATAAAAAATAGCCAAAATATTTTTAAAAAAAGGAAGATGCAGAATTTTATTTCTAGTTTAACAATAATCAGATTCTGGGAGTTGTTATTAACTGGTGTGGAGTTTTAAATCACATCCTATTTTCTCTGCTCAGGTGCAGCTTGTAACACAACTGGGGGCTCGTCCGGGTTAATGGAAAATGACCCAAACCTGACTTTCCAGCTCATCTGTGACCCTCGACTCATTAGAATGAACAAATCAGATCCAAACACACACACACACACACACACACACACACACTGCCAGTACCAGCTCAGCTCGGGACCCTCCCCCAAAGTCAGACTACCACAGCTCCACTCAGACAAACTGCACTGTGCCTATTTTTAACCAGCTACGCATTAAAAGTCAAATCGAACTCAGAACAGCTCCCACAACGATTCCCACGTGTAAAGTTGTGCATGTATTTACAGAGTTACCACCTCTGGATGTTTGAATTCTTCATTTGTTCTGTAGCCATTTGTTCAATAAAGTTATTTAAAATAGCACCACGTTTAACAGTGGGCCTAAGTCACTTCTGGACCACGGGTCCCCGGAATAACGAACAAATGAACGCAAGTCAACAGGGCTAAAAACGCTATTTCTAACCCGCTTGTTTTGTAACATGGATTTCACACATGATGTCCGTGACGTTTAAAGACACATTTTGATACCAAGAATGTGATTTATTTTCTAACGGGGGAAACAATATATTAGGTTTTGCATGAAAATAAGTCCAGGACTACAAATGCGCTTCAAGTGACGTCATCGAACCAGACACAGAGAAAACTGAGGGAAAAGGGCTGTAAGTTCAGCAAACTTCCCACAGGATTAAAGAACCACCATAAATCTGGTCATGTGGTAAGTAGCAGCTATGCTAGGGGGGAGGAGCTTATGTGGTGACATCATATATGTGATGTACCAAATTCTGGTGTGTAGCATGCTAATTACGAACTTTTACAAGCTGATAAATCTAAAAGTATGTGACTGGCGTGGTTGAAACACCATCATTAGTTTTCATTTAAACTGCAGTAGAACGTGTGTGTGAGGGCGTGAGGCAAAGCGGGTTAGAAAATACCATTTTTAGCCTCGTTGACTTGCGTTCATGTTTTCGTTCTTCCGGACCCGTGGTGCGGACGTGACTTGAGCTCCCTATAAAAATCCCCTAAAACTTGTTTTACTAAATGAATTTGAGTGAATAGATCCTTTTTTGTATTTATGCTGCTGCCTGGGATTATTAATCTGACCAAATATCAGTAACCACGGCAACGATAAATTTTTTCATTCATGTTTACAAAGAAGAACTTTAAATGGTAAATGGTCTGTACTTGCATAGCATCTTCTATGGCTCTACAGCCCCCCAAGGAGCTTCACAACACAATCAGCCATTCATCCATTCACACCCTGGTGGTGATGAGCTACGATGTAGCTACAGCTGCGCTGGGGCGCTCTGACAGAGGCGCCACTGGTCCTCCGACCACCACCAGTAGGCAAGGAGGGTTAAGAGTCTTGCCCAAGGACACAACAGTAGCATTCTCTGGTCAGAGCCGGGATTGAACCTGCAACCTTCTGATTACTGGACAACCTGCTTTACCTCCTGAGCTGCTGTCCCCAACCCCAAGCACATCCCCTACCTGAGCCAACGTCTAACCATGTAGCAGGCGTGAAGGTGGGCTACGGAACCTGAACACCATCCAGTGTGTGGAAGTTGTTGCAACACCAGAACAAGGTTTCCAGCCGTCGGGACACCAGGATCGCGGTCCATACGAGAAACGTTTTCTATGGGTCCAGCTGTTGTAGGCTTCACCCAAACCCACTCTGGCTTCAGATCTTTTATGGTTGCTCCTCCTCTTGGTAACAACAAACGCAGCTGCTTGACTTGCTGAGTCCACCATTTCCCACGGTGCCAGCCTCGCAGTGCCGAGCAGACCGTTTGGCAACCCACAGCGATGCCCTCGATTGGCTGGTAGACGTAAACATAAACCCAGTGTCGTGCCGTCAAAATAAATAATTGAATTGATTTTGTATCCCCCACCACCACTACCACCACCACCACCACTACCACTGTCCTAATGGTGAGACCCCGCGAGGAGAGTTGACCATTGAGCAGGGTTGATGGTTTATCCCTTGGGTCCACGTGGCAGGGGTGAGGAGTGAGCACCACCTCGCCCCTGCCACGTGGACCTCAAGGGATAAACCATCAATCCTGCTCAATGGTCAACTTTCCTGGTGAAGACAGTGGGAGGGTAAAGTATAAAATACTGTACCTTCATTCTGCACACCTGTAAACGCCTGCGGAGGCTTTTATTAAACTGTTCCTGTCAAGCTTTGCCACGCAGATCCGGTAGCTGCACGGAGCTTTTTTGGAGAATCAGGGTTAGAAGGACTTGTTTAGAGTCAGTCGGATTTATGAACTAGAAGGGTTCTAGTGGGATAAAAACCTGAAGATGCTTTGCTTCCCCTTTCTAAGTTTAGAAATAAAAATGTTGCAACGGTTACATAAAGGGCAAGAACTGTCGTCCTCGACTGGTGCCCAGGTGTCTCAGACGTTTAATGTCTTTCACCCGATGAAACTAAACGTTCAAAAAAGAGCAGAAATCCTCAGAAGTCCATGTCCCACCCAGACAGCTCTTCAGGAGGACTGTCGTCATCTGGAGGGTAGTTGTCAAAGTAACTGAAGTCCGTTGGTCCAGAGAGCTAAAGAGGAAGCACACGTCACCTCCGCCCCTCCATCTGCGAGATGTTTAGGAACGTTAACATACCTGTCTTCTGAGTGGCGACGGTAACGTCCTGGCCTTCAGCCCCTCCCAGTTGAAGCCATTAAACCACCTTCAGACGCAGATATGATTCATTAATTTAGATAAATCTTTGACACCAAACCTCAACAGCTCTAGTTTCCACAGATCCTCCTCACCGGTGCTTCTTGATGTCCGTTATTCCATTCTTCAGATTTCCCAGTCGCTCAGCGGGATTCCTCCTGCAATACGTCACGTCATCAGATGGTTGCTACTGTCCATCAGGCTCTCCTCTGAGGATTTATGAGCAGCCCTTTACCTGCACAGCTTACGTATCAGGTCCTCGGGTCTCTTACTGATCTTCTTGGGAAAGTCCATCTTCTCGATGCCTTTCAGGATGAACGTGTAGGTCATCATTTGGTCACTTCCTGAGAATGGAGGACTGTTGGATTAGGAAGAAAAACATTTTTTGTTCTGACTTTTTAGGAAATTTTCTGCTGAGGACTGAAACAATAAAAATAAATCTGTGAGAAGATCAAAGTCAGGCTAGGAACTCCCAGAAGGCACTGCTGCAGATGCTGACCTGCCAGTGAGAAGCTCAAACACCAGAATTCCCAGAGCCCAGAAGTCAACGCTGAAGTTGTGTCCTTTGTTGAGGATGATCTCCGGAGCCACATATTCCGGCGTGCCGCAGAAGGTCCAGGTCTTCTGGCCGGATCGGATCTTTTTGGCAAATCCAAAGTCAACCTGGGAGGGAAGAAACTCATTAGTCGGCTCTGGAAAGTTGAAGGAAAACAGGAGATTCCATCCATGATGGATCGTAAACACTAAAACACCCAAAACCAGCTCAGGAATGTGGTTTGAGCCGCGTGTGAAGGCGTAATGAGACGGTTTCAGGGAGGTTTAACTCCACTCAGCTGCATCTGTGTGGCTCAGAGCGGAGCATTTACCAGTTTAATGTATCCGTCCGTGTCGAGCATTAGGTTCTCCGGCTTCAGATCCCGGTAGAGCACACCTTTGCGATGGAGATACTCGAAAGCTTCTGTCACACAACCGACACAGAATTTGGCCGTGGGCTCATCAAAGCTGCCTCTGAACATGAGAGAGAAAACCAACATCTTCAGCTGTCTGTCAACAGGAAGTGAGAACCACGAGGGGACAGGGGATTTCCAGAATAAAATCTAAATGTCAAGCAAAAAAAGTCAACATCCTATTTCCAGAAAAGAGTTGTAGTAATAATAATATTGTTAATAATAGTATTAATAATAATAATTAATATTATACTACTAACTTCACCACCGTACCGTGGTGGAGGGGTCTGAGTGTCCCAGTGATCCTAGGAGCTAAGTTGTCTGATGCTTCCTGCCTCTGGTAACCCTAACCCTAACTCCTTATTTAGGAAAATATTGATGGAAACAGTGTTCCCTCGTCCAGACGCGGGTCACGGGGGCCCCCTCTGGAGGTCTGATCCTCGGCTACAACGGCTAGCTAGTTGATGTACCGATGCTGTCTACTATTGGTCTAAGTGGGGTGTTTTGTTTGTGTGTTTTTGGCGTTCCATAGACCTTGGTAGTATGTTTGCTGTAGGAATCCAGTGTTTGTACATTTTTTCTGTTATTTTGCCTTTTTCTTGTAGAGGCTTCAGTAATTTTTTCATGTTTTTGTTAATGTTTTCTGTTGGGTCTTTTTTAAGTATTCTGTATGTATTTTTGTCCTCTAACATCTACTTCATCTGTTGTTTATATTTTTCTTTGTCCATCACTACTGTGGTTCTTCCTTTGTCTGCCAGTAGAATAATTAGCTGTTCATTTTTGGATAATGCTGTCATGGCTGATTGTTCTTCTTTTGTAATATTGCTGTGGTGAATTTAGCTGTTTTTTAATATCCCAACAACGTTATTTCTGAGTTCTGATTTCTTTCCCTCATCTGTGGTCTGTTGACATGCTAGTTCTGTTGCTACAATAAATTCATCGTATGGTATTTCTTTGGTGTGACTGCAAAGTTTAAACATTTTTTAATATGCTTTCTTCTGCGTCTGTTGGTTCGTATTGTGAGCTTTGTGTGGTGTTATCTTGTATTTATTTTCTCTTTTTCTTCTTGATGAGTTTGTTTAACTTTGTGTGTCTTTCTTTTCTTTCTCTTTCTGCATCATTGGAGAGGAGAGCGGGCAGCAGAGGGCGACAACGTCCTCTGCTGCCCGCGGATAAACGGAGTAGGAAGTGACGCCACCATCAGCGTCAGCTCTGAGGATGTTTGCAGCCGCGAACGAAACTGTCAGCAGCGAGGTAAAAAAGAAACCTTTTCTGTGTTTTTAAAAAGAACCAATGGTGCAGTTGGAAAAGCAACACAGCAGGAACGTACCAAAGGGGTTGGACTTTCTACCACTCTGGAGTTGCTCCCACTGAAAGGTGCCGAGCGGGGGTGGGCATACTTGCTGCCCCCATCTTGGTGCCTGTACGTTGGGGGTTACCCCGGTGAACGAGGGTGTAGCCTCCCTCGCCTTCGTTTGGGCTGCGTTCCTACCCTCACCTATGGTCACGAGCTCTGGGTAGTGACCCAAAGAATGAGATCATGGATACAAGCGGCTGGAATGAGTTTTCTCCGTGGAGTGTCTGGGCCTGCCTGCTTAAGGTTGGTTTATTCTTGACGCGTCCGCGAGGTTCGCACGGCTCCGCGCAGCGAAATTGCGTCATTTTAACAACCACGCCCCTCCACCGCGCCTCCGCACGACCCAAAATTTCTGCACCGCGCACCTAGGAAATTTTCTAACCACGCGGACAGTCGGACGTGGAAAAACATGGCGGACTGGCAAGAACTAGTATGGCAGAGGTTCGTAAATACAGACATTTGTATGATTCAGCTCTCAAAGATCGCCGTGATCAACATGTTGTTAATAATTCTTGGAGAGAAATAGCTCGCACTGTCGGAAAAGACGAGAACGCTGTTAAAAAATGCTGGAATGCCATGTTGTAAACAACAGTCATTTCTACTTCTACTATGGTGTAGTGTTGGATGCATGCTGTAGAGCTCCATGCTGCCCCCTACAGTTTGGGAGAATATTGGCTCACGGCAGAGACGAGCCGCATAAACCATAAACACTGCAAGTTGTGAAGCGCGTTCCATCCGTCCGCGAGCCGCATCACCAAGGGGAAAGTGAATGCATCAAGCATAAACCAAGCTCGAGGCTGCTGCCCCGTGACCCGAGCGGTAGAAACTGGATGGATGGATAATAAAAATAACAACTATTATTATTATTATACTACCACTAATAATAAATAATGAGATGTTTTGGCTCCATCCATGGCAGCGTCCACAGTGGAACGCAGAACTTCCTCTCAGTAGTTTATTATTGATGTCTGATGAAAGTCCAACAGAAGAAATGAGCACACGTCCTCTGAGGCAGCAAACATGTTTTAGTCCTGAACCAGCAGCAGGTAAGTGTCTCACCTGTCTCTGAGCAGACTCCAGATCTCTCCGCCCAAACAGGCCTCCAGCAGCATGTACACGTATTTGTTATCCTTAAAGGTGCGATAAAGTCTGAAGGAAAGTTCAAAATGACCATTAGAGCAGAACTTTAACCTCCACGTCCTTACAGATGTATTGCTAGTGGAGTTTTGCTCCATGTTGTGGTAAATTAGCACCGTTTGTGATGGAGAGTAGAAGTAAACTAGTGTGAAAATGGAGCTTAGTGATTAACGAAGCAGAATTTTAAACTTGGAGGAAACGACGGAAGCAGGAGGACTGACTTAACAACAAAAGGCGAGCGCGCCTCCGCGAGTATCCTCCTCTCAGAGTGGATGTGCTCCTCCTGCCTGTTTTCTACAACATGCTTCTTCTTGATGATCTTCAGAGCAAAGGTGATGTCCTCGTCCTTCACCTTCACCTGTGAGGGGATTAAACCAAGAGGGACACATGAATGACGTTAAGATTTTTGTATTTAGAACACCAGCCGGGTCTTCAGGAGAAGCTGTTGCAGTAAACACATCATCTGTTAGTAAAGTCACTAACTAGTCGCTAACTCTGCACACGGTCATGTCAGCTCAAGCATTACCAGTTCTACTCGACCAAACCCGCCAACTCCAAGAGTAGCCACCACCTCCAACTGATCAAAGGGCTTGGACGGAGAAAACACTGAGACCATGTCCTTCAGCTGGAGGAAACCTGGGGACAGCGGCATACTCTGGTGTCGCGAAACAGACTTCCTAGAAGCACAGAAACAGACATAAAGCATGACAAACACAAGCTGTTACCACTTTAGGCTTCGATTGAGATTCAGGACCTACTTGACATGTCTCTTCTTGTCATCACGGTCGAGCGTTGCCACGTAGCCTTGGAGATGTTTCTGCAGCTCGTTGAAGTTACCGACCGTATGATCGAATGTCCTACGGAAGAGCGTTACTGCTGGGATGTTGGTGTCAATTTCAGCTGCTCACATCCCATTTTTACTTGGTGTTCATGCACTTCAACATCATAATGGTGCGAGACAAACGTGCACTCACTCCCTGTCGATGACGAGACACTCCACCCCGTTCTCATCAGCGATGATGTTGGCTGATCTGAGGTCATCACTAAAATGAAAACGTAGAAATTGGAAACTGGCAAAGAGCTGAAGCAAGATGGCGCTGTGGGCGTTCCTCAAGGGTCGATACTGGGTCCAGCCTTATTAAGAATCTATATTATTAACATTGTTCATGCTGTTGGCAGTTTTCATATACATTTATGTGCAGACTACACCATTTTTTATGCATGCAGTTCTTCCTTGAATGCAGCTTTGTCCTCCTTGCAGCACAACTTTAACTGCAGGTTGTGGATGGGGAAGAAAACTAGGTCAGCTGAGGCACTCTAAGTATTTCTATTAGAGCAAGAAAAGGAAAAAGCTGGCTTGTTTCGGTCGCGTACGACCCGCTTCAGGGCTACTTTAATCATCTTCAGCATGCCTTCTCCGACCTTCATCTTCATTCAAACACAAGTAAAACAAAGTTCATGATCTTCAACCATAACTTCCCACAATCAACCCGCCACCCTAGTGTGTGACCCTGGATGGTACAGAACTACAACTCGTCAGTTCTTATAAACACCATTTATGTTCCAGTAACTTCATCTCTGTGGTTATTCCCAAAGCTCGCACCTCCAGTTTGCTGCTTCCAATGACTGGAATGAGCTGCAGAAACCACTGAAGCTCACCTACATTCCATTATCTACCTTCAATAATTCACAGAGATCAATAGTTTCTGATCAGAGTTCCTGCTCCTGAGTCCTTTGTCTGTATGTGTTTCATCTTGTTTTTGTCTTACCTGTTTTTCTCTGATGTAAAGCTAACTATGTGTCTGTTGCTGCTGCATCTCGGCCAGATCGTCGTCGTAAATGAGGATGAGTTCTCAGTCCACTCATCTGGACAAATAAAGTTTAAACAAATAAATAAATGCTGGTGGCTTGCCGTCTGCTGCCTGTCCAGTTTTTCTGGTTCTGTTCTGTTTGATGCAGACGGCTTGCTCTCAGGGACTCCACATTTGATCCATTGGCACCTTAGGAGATGAAATCTTTTGTCAGCTGTGTGTGACCTTCCGTCTGACAGGATGGTCACATTTTGGAGCTTGTTGTCTACAGGCAGCTGGTAACTCTTTCTCACAGTCTGCAACAGAGTGGATGGAGGCTATAGGAGGGGCAGGAGAGACGATGCTGCTGATGGTGTTAAACAGCACCTTGGGGTTCCCTTTGCTCTGGGACACCAGGTTGGAGAATTAGGAAACCCTAGTGTCTCTGACTGCAGAGTTAAAGGATGTCAGAAGATCCTTTAGGTGCAGCAGATGGAGTGGAGATGGGTTTTCTTCCACAAGCGCTCAATTTTTCTGCATTGGCGCTTCAGGCTGCGAAGGCTGTCAGTAAACCAGGGAGCAGGGTTCACTGCAGGAACTGATCTGGTTCTGACAGGACAGATGTTGTCCAGAATAGAGAGGCAGTGCTCGTTAAACTGAAATTAAGGAATCTGGGTCGTTATCAGAAGAACAGGGTGGATCAAAAGCAGCAGAAAAATTGCTAGCTGTGCTCTCATTAAGAAAACGAGAACTAACCATACGGCGAGCAGGAGGTGGGGACGCAGAAACTGACAAGTTAAAGAAAATGCAATGGTGATCTGAAATATAAACGTCCTCAGGACAAACACTGTCAGCATTTAGACTCAGGGTAAAAACAAGGTCTAGAGAGTGTCACCTGGTGTGTGTGGGGCCAGAAACATGCTGGGTAAAGCTGAAGGAGTCCATAAGGCTGGAGACATTCATGGCAAAGTGATCAGAGGGATCATCAACGTGGACCTGACATTAGGTCTAGAGTGTAAAATCCAAGGTGGTTCTGTATTGTTGCTCTCTGTTATCTGGTTCATTCAGAACATTGTTTCTGTGATTATTTTTTTTAACCTTTCTTGATTTTATTGACTTTGGACATTTCTGAAAAATTTTGTCTTTTTCTTTAAACTTATTTCAACTTGTTTCTCTGGTTTGAGTGCACAGCACCTTGGGCTACACTGACTGGTGTTCTACAAATAAATAAATAAAATGAAAACTAATGAAACCTGTTCAAATTGATGTGTAATCAGCACCAATGTTTACTAGACTCGGCACCTCCTAGGTTTTAAGTCCACTTCCACTGAGACATAAGTCTGATTAGATATATAAAAAGAAACCTCAGATCCTTTCTAACAGGTGTAACAACGTTTCTTTAAAATGCTGATTTGTAAAGGTTTAGCAAAATCGGACAGTCTTCAGCATCATCTGAAGAAGATAAGATCGGTTTAAAAACACTAAAACTTCCAGGATGATCATTTTCATAGTATTCTGAATATCTAAGTCTTTATTCTGTTTTGTTTTTTATCTATTTTTTAATAAATCCACATCAGAGTCAGTCTCAGAAATCAGCACTTTAAACCCAGATGGATGCATTTCTAGTGATTAGTTTTTGAGTGAGAGAGTAGGCGGGGCCTTCTGACCTACATCTCAGATGTTAAAGCTTCACTTTGGTCCAACAGAGGACGCAGAAGACATCATTGTCCATCTGGTTCCAACAAAGGCATCAAACCTGCAGAGCTCCTACCTTATGAGTGCCTTTTCTCCAAAGTAGTCTCCTTTCTGCAGCGTGTTGATGATCTGCGGCGGCTTGTGGGCCTCGGTGGTTTGGGTCACCTTCACCTGCATAACACAGCTTTATGACCTCAGCTTTCACAGGTGCTTTACATTTTCTCTGAATATTTTTGCACTCATTGTGAAAACACTGAATGCATTAAACCTTAGAAATTGGCATATTACATTTCCAAACTGATGTCCTCCATACTTTGCTGGCATGCTGTCCAAACACACTCATTACCCGCGAGCGTGCTTTGATCGTTAAAATCGTGTTTTCACTCCCGCCTCCCAGAGCAGCCGGTCCTCTGCAGCATGTGCGGATGTTGTGAAACGTCTCTGTAATTTGTGAGGCTTTAAAAACCAGCGGCCCACCCCGGTCGAGGTCAAGCAGCCCTTCGCGTGGCATCGTCCCGTTTCAGCGATACCACAGTGACATCACCGCCATAATGGCCCAAGTGTGTTTTAGCTAAGTGCCCTGTTTGACCTCAGTGACCCTCGCTTCCCATGTTTTTCCTCATGTTAGCCATTCTCAGGGTGGCCTCCTTCCTCCCAAACAACAGGAACCTTGCCCTGGTTCAGCTGGTGTTCAGGAGATGCTGCCTCACATAGACTCCTAATGCATCCCCCCACCCCCACCCCCACGGTGTCAGATTACTGGTGGATCAGACCGAAGAACGGGGGGGAGGCTCACGTTCTCCATGGCGTTCGAGCAGCATGGAAACACCAGGGCTGAAGCTCAGCATCTAAAACATCTGCCTGGACCAGAGAGTGGTCGGTTTCTGATGGAGCTGCTTTTATAGCCACGTGTAAAAGATCATTAACTTTAAATGAATCTAACGGGTTAGGAGTCAGAAAATGTGTGGACTTTCCCAAATACAGAATGTTACCATCTAGAACGGTTAAACGTTGTGATTCAGGAAATACTGGATCTGGTCTGAAAATGCGTCATCACGCACCTGAAAGGAAACATTTCTGAGGGTTTTGTTAAACTTAATGCAGTTTTATCTATAATTCAGACAGAAAGCTGATCTCATTTTCACAGCTCGCTCCTCACTGTACCTTCCCCTGTGCGATGATGTAGAAAGTGCTGCCCTCCTCTCCCTGCCGGATGACGTACTCTCCATTGTCATAGTATTCCTGAGGGGAAAAGCGGGAGAGACAACAGTCAGGACTGCAGCTTTTCATTGATTCAGGCATCGATCCTGTTATCATGATTCCTGGTAGCTGCTCCCCTGCGGGATGAGAGCGAGAGTTCAACCATCAGGGATGCTTTGCAGGTCTGGAGGAGTCACAGAGCCCACAGAACAGGAAACATGGACTCAATCAAAAATACTTTCATGGCTGACACTTTCTATGAAGTAGCTGCAGGGTCGGCATTTCACAGCTTTAAGGGTCTCATTAATCCTTATTTATGCATGCCTTCTCCGACCTTCATCTTCATTCAAACACAAGTAAAACAAGGTTCATGATCTTCAACCATAACTTCACACAATCAACCCGCCACCCTAGTATGTTACCCTGGATGGTACAGAACTACAACTCGTCAGTTCTTATAAACACCGTTTGTGTTCCAGTAACTTCATCTCTGTGGTTATTCCCAAAGCTCGCACCTCCTTTGGCCGCTATATAAACTTTTGCTATGTAGAAAGTATATATATATATGTATATATATATATATATGTATATATATATATGTATATATATATATATGTATATATATATATATATATATATATATATATATATATATATATATATATATATATATATATATATATAACCCAATCCCCACGCGCCGGAGACAGGGAGATCATCAGTACTAGCTTTCATAGAATGATTTAGATTTTTAATTTGAAAAGCTTTTTTTTTTTTTACTCTGACACACTCCAGAAGGTTTTGTTCTGCTTTAGGAGCCTCAAGAAACACCAACGTGCTCTCAGACGCACGTTCGTCCAGGTGAGAATCCCGTCTGCTGCTGGTTTCCAGCTTCATCCAGAACTGAACAGCCAAACCAGAGCAAACGTGTAAACTTCAATGGTTTTACTGCCAAAACTGTGACAAGTGGCATTTTCCTCAAGCGTCAGGAATCGTTTACCTTCGTTTACGCTCGAGCGGGCTGTGTTAGTCGGGGTGATGCTGGAGCTCTTCAGGAGAGGGACAACATTCCATCTGACTCCTGAGTGTTTGGATCAAGTCTGAATCCTGAGACGAGTTTTATGTTAAGACACACGGGCTTAAAGTCTCTTCCTGCAACAGCTGGAATGCTTTAGCTGCTAGCTGCGGTTTGATGGGAGGACCTTAGTTCTGGCTGCTTCTAATGACCACAGGTGGTCAATCAGCTGGAGCACATCTCAGCTTGTCTCAGTGAGACGGCAATAAACCAGCTTTACGGTCTGCACCAGTCGTCAGCAGCCACCGATCGGACCAGCTTCCCAGAGCAGATCAAGAGCTCTGCACACACACACACACACGTGTTGTGTCTGTCACTCTCACATCTTTGAGAAATCAAAGTTTGGATAAACACTTTCTGTGGCCTTACTCAAATAATTACGGTAACAATATACAGCAGCTGGCACTGACGGGAATAACACCGGCTCTGTTCATCAACACAGTGATTTGGGAATCTTTGCTAACTGGAGCTACAGCGAATCTGCTGACACGTGGAAACCGAATCCGGCCAAATGGTAATGATATTTTGACAGCAGCTATCTGCAGTGAGCTGCTCCCACGAGCTGCCAAAAAAATCCTGCAGCACACGTGAAAGTCTAATTGTCCTTTCGGTAGAAACACAGGTACCAGTGCCCCCCACCCCCCGCCCCGTCTGAATAAACACCTTCTGGGGCCTTAGGCAAAGACACAGATAGGTTGACGGAATTACTTACCACCTCCAGGCAGTCCACTATTTTGCTTAGCTTGTCATCTGGTAAATCGGCCAAGAGAGAAACGCTGACAGGAAAGAAAAAACACCAGACCTGATGTTGAATACCACACATGGATTTTGATCTGCACCTTCATTTACTTTACGTTAATCACACAAAACTCTCTACAGACCGGCAGAGAACTTACAAATCGTGCTGATCTTCCATCAGAAAAACCTAAACCCAGTAACGGCAGGTGTTTCTGACACGTGATCGTCTAGCAGAAACGTCACGGCTAATCTGTGGTTCTGACCTTCGGAGGAAGCTACGGTACTGTTCGTGTCGCGTCTCAGCCGTCCTCCTCATGATGTTCTGGAACGCTTCCCGGTCCAAAGCCCATGTTCTCACTTTGTTCACAGCTGTAAAAACAAACCGTATGAAACAGCTTCTGAGTGCCTTGTTCCAGGTTCCAGGCTGGATGAACAATAACAGCAAATGATGGTCAGTCATTCTTCACCTCCACCAAGAACTGTACCTAGGATGCTTACCAGAACCTGGTTGGACCTCATTTAACTTCAGAACCGTCCTAAATCTTCAGGTCATAAATTCAACCAGAGGCTGGAAACTATCTCATTCTGATGAGAATTAAAAAGAGAAATCATATCTCTCCTGTCTTAACTTCCCTACATTGGCTGCCTGTTAAATTCAGAATAGATTTTAAGATCCTCCTTCTCACATATAAAGCTCTTAATAATCAAGGTCCATCATACATCAGTGACCTGATTGTTCCATATGTTCCTAACCGAGCACTTCGCTCTCAGACTGCAGGTTTACTGGTGGTTCCCAGAATATCTAAAAATAGGATGGGAGGCAGATCTTTTAGTTATCAGGCTCCTCTCCTGTGGAGCCAGCTCCCAGCTTTAGTCCGTGAGGCAGACACCTTGTCTACTTTTAAGACTAGGCTTAAAACATTTTATTTGATAGGGCCTATGGTTAAAATCTGGTGTTAGCCTAGATCTGGACAAGTGGGGGAGTAGAGGGAGGTGGAGTGTACAGTCTGTAAAGACGGCTCTCCCTTGGCCTGCCTCCAACATGCCTCCATCTAAATAGGATAGATTATCCAGAGTTATCTCTGTAGTTATGCTGCTATAGGCTTAGACTGCTGGAGGACACACTCGACTACTTTCTTCTACAATCTGCTCTTTAACTGCATTATTTCCTGCTATTTCAGCTGTTAACTTTATTTTTTCTCTAAGTGTTTTTCTCCCCAGAAGAAGCTACAATGATGTTCTGCTGAGCTGTGGTGGCCTCATGGAGGGGGTTATCGACTAGCACACTGCTGCTAACCACTTAAACATTCTCCCTCTCCTGATAATAACTTTTTACTCTCTTTGACATTGAATGTGCTACTACTAGTTTACCTGTTTAATTATAGATTCACTAGGATAAATACAATAAAGTTTATCTCTCAACAAACAGAATGTTTACTAACAAATCACAATGTAACCATAGAAACATTACATGGTATATTAGTTGTGTGTGTGTGTGTGTGTGTGTGTGTGTGTGTGTGTGTGTGTGTGTGTGTGTGTGTGTGTGTGTGTGTGTGTGTGTGTGTGTGTGTGTGCCTGCTCTGTCTTCTCCATCCCCAGTGAGTCGTGGAGGATGGTTGCTTATACTGAGCCAGGATCCTCCCGAGGTTTCTTCCTGTTAAAAGGGAGTTTTCCTCTCCACTGTCACTGCATGCTTGCTTAGTATGAGGATTGCAGTAAAGACTCTAGTCAGTGACTCGATGCAACCTTTTACTGATTGGCTTATTGACCTGACCTGTATTGGGATGTTTACTGTGTGAAGGTCCTTGAGACGACTCTGGTCCTGATTTGGCGCTTTATAAATAAACTTGAATATAATTCAATTGAATCTCAGAGGTCCTGGTCCTCAAAAGTTCTTTTTGTCAGAGGTTCTGGTCCATCCTAACATGACAGCATCAGCTCCATCTGTGATTAGAAGCTCCCGCTTCCCCCAGTGTGCCTTTAGTTGTTATTCTAATAAATAATTTTATTTTTTTTTCTCACATCCTGCCTCCGAGTTTGATTCTGCATGTCCTACACTTGCCTCAGATCATGACAGTCAGGAATGGACTATTAAGAAGGCCCATTGCCTTCGGCAGGTGCACTGTCCAGCCTGGGCCCCCGAACGCTAATGATTGTGCCTATCCCTTCTCACGTGTCAGCGTCAACAACCTCAGTAAATTTAGTGTTCCCCAAGTAACCCTTGAGTATTTGTTTGGCACCCCCTTCATTTTCTCAGTTCCTTTACTTTCCTTTAGTTAATTAGAAATTAAGGGTAAGGTGTAAGTTTTAGGGGTCAGGAAGGGGTTAAGGGTTTAACGAGGATACAGCTGAAATCCACACCCGTCAGACCAGGAAAGGTTTTCCAGTCTCCACTGGTCCAGTTCTGGTTGTCCCTAGTGTATTGTGGTCTCTGGTCTCTTTTTTTCTCCTTCCTGATGATCCATGTGAACCCCACCGTGTCTGTGGGCTGCCATGTGATTGGCTGATTACGTTTTTGGTTTTTGGTGTTCAGGTGGGCGTGTTGATAACCTCACCATGTTTGGAGGTGGGAGTGTTTGATGACCTCACCATGTATGGAGGTGGGCGTGTTGATGACCTCATCGTGTCTGGAGGTGGGCGTGTCGATGGCATCACCATGTATGGAGGTGGGAGTGTTTGATGACCTCACCATGTGTGGAGGTGGGTGTGTTGATGACATCACCATGTATGGAGGTGGGCGTGTCGATTATCTCACCATGTCTGGAGGTGGGAGTGTTTGATGACCTCACCATGTATGGAGGTGGGCATGTCGATGACCTCACCATGTATGGAGGTGGGAGTGTTTGATGACCTCACCATGTTTGGAGGTGGGTGTGTCGATGACCTTACCATGTATGGAGGTGGGCGTGTCGATGACCTCACCATGTAGGGAGGTGGGCGTGTCGATGACCTCACCATGTATGGAGGTGGGAGTGTTTGATGACCTCACCATGTCTGGAGGTGGGCGTGTCGATGACCTCGCCATGTAGGGAGGTGGGCGTGTTGATGACCTCACCATGTATGGAGGTGGGCGTGTCGATCTCACCATGTCTGGAGGTGGGAGTGTTTGATGACCTCACCATGTATGGAGGTGGGCGTGTCGATGACCTCACCATGCATGGAGGTGGGCGTGTCAATGACCTCACCATGTATGGAGGTGGGTGTGTCGATGACCTCACCATGCATGGAGGTGGGCGTGTCGATGACCTCACCATGCATGGAGGTGGGCGTGTCGATGACCTCACCATGTATGGAGGTGGGTGTGTCGATGACCTCACCATGCATGGAGGTGGGCGTGTCAATGACCTCACCATGTATGGAGGTGGGAGTGTCAATGACCTCACCATGTATGGAGGTGGGCGTGTCGATGACCTCACCATGCATGGAGGTGGGCGTGTCAATGACCTCACCATGTTTGGAGGTGGGCGTGTCGATGACCTCACCATGCATGGAGGTGGGCGTGTCGATGACCTCACCATGTATGGAGGTGGGAGTGTCGATGACCTCACCATGTATGGAGGTGGGCGTGTCAATGACCTCACCATGCATGGAGGTGGGCGTGTCGATCTCACCATGTCTGGAGGTGGGAGTGTTTGATGACCTCACCATGTATGGAGGTGGGTGTGTTGATGACCTCACCATGTATGGAGGTGGGCGTGTCGATGACCTCACCATGCATGGAGGTGGGCGTGTCGATCTCACCATGTCTGGAGGTGGGAGTGTTTGATGACCTCACCATGTATGGAGGTGGGTGTGTTGATGACCTCACCATGCATGGAGGTGGGCGTGTCAATGACCTCACCATGTATGGAGGTGGGCGTGTCGATGACCTCACCATGCATGGAGGTGGGCGTGTCGATGACCTCACCATGTATGGAGGTGGGCGTGTCGATGACCTCACCATGTATGGAGGTGGGAGTGTCGATGACCTCACCATGTATGGAGGTGGGCGTGTCGATGACCTCACCATGTCTGAACAGTTATTTATAATAAAATAAAAACATACAAACTAACATCATTTATGGTCTTTACCTCTAACTGATGCGGTGCGCGTGCAGTTGTACAGGATGGCTAACTCTCCAAACGCCGTCCACACCGTGATGGACGTGAGCAGCTTGGCATGTTGGAACACGTCCAGCTTCCCGTCTGTAAACATTAATCAGCTGTTTTTAGCTCACATTAAACACACAGGAGTTCAATCTGGTCACATTTATGCTGGTCATGTTCTGTTTCATCCCACAAGCTTTAACTTCAAACACATGAACTATTCTCATACATGCAGGCAGCGGCAAAACGGAGGATTTCTCTACCAACTTCAGGCTTTTTTCTCTCATGGCTGAGAGAAATTCCTGCCACTCTGAACAGCAGCAGAACCTCGGCCCGTTGGGAAGTGTTCACCTACGACGCTGGCAGACACAATCAGCTGCTGCACTTTAAAACGTTGTTCCTTTAGTTAAACCAGTAAGTGTTTGTTCAGGAATCAACCAGTGAGTCCCTAAAACACAGAAACTAACTGATGTTGTTGTTTCAGGAGACTGAAAGCTCTTTGGTCCACATTTAATGTCCCTCTCCTGCCAGAAGTTGGTAAACCAGAAGAATGTTTTCTACCTAAACCTGCCAAAAATAAGTTTCGCCCACTAAAATAATTACAAAGTTTGTCCTTCAATTTAAAGTCTGGTTAAGCTTTCAAAACAACGGGAAGCTCTGCGAATGTTCACAAACCGTGAATCTGTAGAAATGTGTGGAAGCGACCAAAACCCTGCTGCTGTGATGTGATTGGCTCGCGGTCAGAGTGGCTGCACGGCGACCGCTAAGGCCAGAGAGTACACCCAAACCGCCGCGGTTCTGCTGTGTGGTGCTTTGTGTCCGGTGAGGGTAACGTTTACTTATCGGACACCAA